AAGCTTAACGATCTTGCCCAAAATGGCGGCCCAAAGGTCCGCCAATATGGCGCTGCCACGTGGTGCGCTTCTCCGTGGAGGCAGACTTTGGCAGCGGGCTTACAATGGCGGCCCGAGGGTCCGACCAGACGCCGCACGATTCCCCTATCGAGGGGTTATTCTGTAGTGCAGGGAAGGGCTGGCTCGTTCTCCGGCGCTGGTCTTGCCTCGCGCCCTCACTCCGGTGCAGCTCTGCGAGGCACAGCCCTGGGTGAGGCTCCGGATCGGCGCCGCGTGGGCGGCTGGCGCTTCCGGCTCTGCTGGCCAGCTGATGAGCGCGCCACCACTATGGAAGGCTCCGGCGTGGGGGCGATGAGCTTTGAGCCCTTTTGCCAGCTGGGGGGGCGCGGATCGTTGCGGTAGCACAGCACTCGCAGAGAACCAGCCGGTATGAGCTTGAGGGGCTGGCGAGCGAGCGTGTGGGCCCTAAGCTCCACTCCCCCTCTTCTGCTAGAAGTTGCTGTAAGCGCTTTGCACGAGAAGCCAAAAACAAAGAGAAACCGCGAAGGCGAGCTACTCAAAATTAACACAAAAGCCTAGACGCTCAAAGGAAAGGGGAAAGCCACGAACTTTAGAAATTTAAAGGAAAAAAAGGAGAAAAAACCCCCACAGAACCACTATACCTTAGAAATCTGTGGAGCTCCAAAAATCACTACAGTGTTTGCCAGCAACTGAGTGAAGACTGGGGGATCATGGGAGTAGAGTCGTGGCTTGGGAGCTGGAAAGGGGGGGGGAAGCCTTTTGTTTTTCACTCAGTTGTTGCCAAAGACTGAAGGATTAACCCATGCATGGATAGTGGGAGCAGCGCACAGGAAAAAAGCTGGTAAAGAGCTGTTTCTTGGATCTATGCCCAGCTGTTCTTCCCGCCATTTTGGTTTTCAAATCTCATTGACCGTTGCTGCAACTGCTGTCTGTAGCCTGCCTGTTATATTAGTATGCCTAGTATGCCTAGTATGCCCTTGAGTATGCCTAGCCGAGACTAGGCAGGGACTCTGTTGCCGCTCCTGGCGATAAAAATAGTTGGAGCTGTTAAACAGCTTGCACACCCCAACTGGTTGATAATGAGGAGCCGACGATCCCACCGGCTCTGTGGCAGGAGCATTTATGCGTTGCCGCCAAATTGGGGCTCAAAGCTCCCAAGGGGAAGGCCAGATGATCCCATTGGTTCCTGGGCGTGCTGCGATCTGTCGTGGCAAACTGCAAGCCCGCCGTTGCCCAGTTATCCCAATCGCTAAAAACACTTGGCTGCAAGCCACAGCTCCGATACAAGCCTCCGCTTTAAATAAATGCTCTCCACTCATGAAGCGATCTAGTTGATTTCCTCCTGAAGTCCTAGCAATCTCCAGGAATGTTTTGACATGTCTCGTCAGGTTAAGATCGAGCCGAAACTGGGGCAGAGAGGATGAGGGTGTGGCCCAAAAGAAACTGACAGCTATGTCTCAACAGGAAACAGACGAATCAACCCATTCTTGGACACTCCTGGGAGCTTTCAGGAGAATTAACTATTCTGAAGCAATGGCTGAATATAATCAAATACCAAAATGTAAGTAAGGAGTAAAGAAGATGATCTTTTTCATACAATTTTATTTAAAAGGCTAAAAAATACAGAAGAAAAAAAGCAAAGACAAAAACACTAGACAAAAACATTAAAAATGCAAACTAATAAGAGTAAGGAAAATGATCTTGACCAAGATATACTATATGAGATTTATTACCAAAACCAGTTTGGTGTAATGATTAAGGCACAAGACTAGGAACCAAGAGATTATGTGTTTTAGTCCTGCCTTGGGCATGAAAGCAGATGGGTGACTTTGAACCAGTTACTTGGTCTCTCAGCCCAACTCATCTCACATGGTGGTTGTTATGGGGAAAATAGGAAGAGAAAGGAATATTAGGTATGTTTTGAGTTATTTATAAAAATAATAAACAAACAAAAAAAATGAATCTAAAGAACAACATAAAACTTGGTAAGGCAGAAATCATACTGTAAGTCCACAATAAGCAGAATATAGATGGAATATAGATACCTTCCTAATTCTCAAGAGTAAAGAAGGGGAGGACAATCAGACAATCAGATTCTGTTATTATAACAACTCTCTATAAAAGTAGTTTTAGATTTCCTATGATTCCTGGCCTACTTTAATTGATGGGGGCTGACATAGATCCAGCCCTACTATAGGTAGGTAAGCCATTGAGGAAGTCATAAGAGTAGGAACTTCGGGATGGGAAAGTTTCAAAGCAGGGAATCTGTCACACAGGATGGCCATATCATGCCCCTTCTTACTGCACCTCACAGTACGGAAGAACCTTCAGCAAGTGTTCTCTGTTCATCTAATTTGAAAAAGAAGAATATATCTGGGAAATGCCGTTTAAGAGATACCAAGACCCCAATCTATATAAGACTTGCAAGTAATGACCAGCACCTTAAATTGTACTCAGAAACATAGCATTTTCCAATACAGCAGTCTCAAAATTGCCCAGTAAGCATGTGGGCTATTGCATTAGCTCGAAAGGCAGCCCCATTTATATCTAATTATAATAATCTAGTAACAATGACAAGGATATGAGTGGCCATCTCCAGCGCTTCCTGATTGAGATAAACCTGTAATTGACCCCTAACCCTAACCCAAAGCTAGCCAAATGTTCCCCTGGGTACTGCTTCTAGAAAGTGGAAGCTAGGAGTTAGTAGTAGTTAGGCAGAAGAGGATCCAGAGTTAGTTTCTTAAGCAGAGAGCAAACCAGTGCCTCTTTCAAATCCACTTCTCTTTCTCTCAAATAGGTGTTGATTATCACCTGAATCCAATTTCCTATCACCTCCCAGACTCCTTGCCTTGATGTGACAAAGCTGATTCAAGAACTATAGCCTCAAAAACCTCCCAAGAAACACAGGGCATTACGTCTTTTCATTCTATTAATTTGGCTTCCTACTTGAAGCTAATACAAATAATTCTATCACAAAATTTCAGCCAGATAATTGCAATTTACCACCAATTGTCTCTTCTTAACTATTCTTCCCTAAAAATCTGATTTACAGAGACATAAACCATTACCCTAATTACCACAATAGGCTCAAATTTAAGTTTGTATCCTTGTCTGGTATATTCATTTTCATTTCCATCAATTGACATTTCAGAGTAATCCCATAGGTTCTATAAATTTGAAAAGTCTTTCGATCCATTAGGCACCAAAGGTAAGAAGGTAGTATTGCTTATTGCTGCGCAGGCCTCTACTATTTGCTGCAAGGAGGCAAATTGCTGGGAGGCAGAGGCAGATTTTTTTTCTCATTTTCCTCCCCAAAAAAGGTAGGTGCGTCTCTTCAGCTAGACTGAGTGAAAAGACTGAAGAGCAGGAGCAGGGGGCATTATACTCCGAAAAATGCAGTACTTCTGACTTCAAAAAAGATTTAAATGAATCAGAATTAACAATCTAGTCAAATCCATCCTTGCCCTCTCCAAATTCAAGTGCTGTAGTTCAGAAAGGGATATTGCTATACCACTAAAAGAAAAGTACAATAGCTGCATGCTTAATCTCATTTAGGCCTAACCTTATAAATACAGTTTTGCATCCCCTGACCTGTGAAACAATATTCCTCACAACAAACAAGGTCTTGCAATACGCAATTGCCTTCCACCTCACTGCTTTCAGGTTGTGAATGACCTGTAACTCAGCCAGGCAGATCATATTGAGAGATACCTTCCATTTGTTGTCCAGTCAGGTTTTGGTGATACATGTCAACACTGCTCCCTTGTCTACAATTTAATTAATTAGTCCACAATTATTTTATTTTATTATAAATAAATCTGGCAATCAAAATGTTATTCTGAGCCCAAGGCACCCAGCTACCAGAACGTTTAGTTCAAAATATGAGATATGGGGCCTGAAATAAATATTGCGTCCAAAATTACCCATCTCTCTTCCCCTCTCCCCAAAATGAGGTGCCCTCATTTACCAGCATATTTTATTCATCTGTCACTATTGTTATCCTCCCCTGTGTACATTGGTCAGCCATTTATACATACATATTCTTCTGTAAAAAACAGCTGTCTGGTCATTCCTGCAGTTCAAGCCAAAATAGTCAGACAGTGCCTAATGACTGAAATGGGGAAGGGGGGGATACATGTTTGCAGCAGCCTAAAGTGACCAATAGGAATGCAGCAGATTCTAACCCTTAGCTGCATCTGTAACCAAAAGATTGATGAAGCATGACAGATCCTATCCATAACACAACTGAAGAGGGAAAATATTGGTACAGATTAAAGGCTGATTTAAAACTGCCTTAGATAGGCCTGGGACAAAGTTGTCATGAGGTAAAAAAAAAAAAGAGCACATACCATGAACTATGTTCATGCCATGGTTAATGGCAAATGTGGAAGAATCCTCAATTGATCCAGGAAATGTTAAAATAATATATCTACTAAAAAATTGAAATGATTATAAATATAGCACACTGCTACAATAATCACTTTTGGTAATAAATCTAAACACATCTACCCATATTACATTTTACATTCTATGATTTCAAGGAATATGAAAAGGGATGTGATGTACTCCCTTTGCTTACATGATTAAAATTGTTCAATGCAGATCAGTTACTTCACCAACATCATATTCCGTTGTTTGCATTCTTAAACCATCCTTCACAGCAAGTTGACCCTGTCTTACCAGAGGTAGATGCGAGCACATGCCTTGGAGGTAGATAATTTCAGGCATTCGGGCACCCAATTACATAAGCATAGTTGAAGTCAGCATTGTACTCCTTACCGATATAAACGTGGAACAGGGTTACTCCAGATTTATATGAAATCCAACGGTATGATTTTGGGTTGACGGCGTGGACATGCTGGGAGACGCTAACCCAAATGAGAGACTAAGTTAAATTGAATATTAGGGCAACCGTTCGCTAAAAGGCTTGGCCTAGGAAGAGTTACGGCTTCACGACGGGGGGGGGGGAGAAACCCATCTCCGGCAAAGCGAGCGCAAAAGGGGAGCCCGGCGACGGTGCTTCGCAAAAAGGGCTCCTTCTCGTCGCCGTCTGAGGAAGGCGAAAGCCGTTCCACTTTGCTCCGGCCGCCGTCTGGGACGCCTCGGCCTGGCTGTGGGCTGACGCTGGTTGGCGACGGCAGGAACACGTGAGTGAGAAGAAAGGGGGAGCACAAGGTCGGGTTGAGCAAGGGGGCGGCAGCAGCAGGAGTTTCCCCGACATCTGGAGGTGTCGGCGGCCGCGCTTGGGAGCGAGCGGCAGGCGGTAGCTGTCCGCCGCAGCAATAGCGGCTGCAGCGGCTCCTCCTCCTGCTACTGCTGCTTCGCTGAGTCCCTCCGCCCGAGTGCCAGCCGTCGCCTCTCCGAGCCTTCGGTCGCTCCTCCTTATTGACAAATACACAAAGGGCCGCGCCGGTCTGGAGACGCGTCTGTAGCCGGCATGGGAGACAAGAAGAGCCCCACAAGGTGAGAGCAGAAAGCCGAGCGGGAGGGCAACCACGTAGACAGACAGGCAAAGGGCCTCCGCGGGCAGGCCGGTCAGGAGACAGTAGGCGGCGGTGGGGCTGTGAGGCCGGCGTCCCCGCTTCTTTTCATCACCCTCCCCCTCTCCCTCCTCCTCTGCCAAAGTGTTTGGCGCCCCCCAACGTAGCAGAAGCGATGGCGGTGAAGAGGAGGAGGAGAAGGAAAAAAGAGGGAGAGGAAGGAGGAGGAGGAGACGTGGTGGGAAGCGGCGGCGGCGGCCGAGAAGAAGCGAGGCCCTAAGGGGAAGCAGGGAGGGATGAAAAGGGCGGCCGCGGCGATGCCTTGTTTTGTGTCTTAAATTTCCTTACGTTTTTCCTCGTCTTCCTCTCCCTTTCCCCCCGCTTTTTGAGTAGGCCGAAGCGGCAACCGAAACCTTCTTCCGACGAGGGCTATTGGGACTGCAGTGTGTGCACTTTCCGGAACAGCGCCGAGGCCTTCAAGTGCATGATGTGCGATGTGAGAAAGGGCACTTCCACCCGGTGAGTGAGCGGGCAAGAAGCCTGGCCTGACAGCCACTTCCCCGGGCAAAGCAGGAGCGGGGACGGATGTGGGGCGGCGGCGGGGAGAAGACGGCCCAACTCAGGGAAGGTGGATCAGAACAGGGGAGCCGGCGACTGCCACCACCATAGCCGTTGGGCAGGCGTATCGATTGCTCTCCTCTATGGGAAGCATAACAGCTCCGTTTGCACCTTTCCCCCTCTTTACTTCAATAAACACCCCACTCTCGGGCTGAAATAGAATTCCCCTGTGGTGAATTTAAAACTTGCGAATAAGATGCTCTTTCTGTCTGCTTCCCACCTCTCTGGATATGTAGGAAGATGGGAAGTGCTGGGCTGTTGGTTTTTAATCCTGGTAAGATAAAGTATTTCTCATGCTTTGGAATGCTCAAACTGACCAAATATTAATAGCAAGGAGTTGCACAAATTGTGAGAATATATTTTGTTTCATCATCAGTTGAAAAGAAAACAAAAATGGCCCAGAATTTGTTTTATTTTTATTGAGAAAACTATGTTGTTATACTGTGCTGTGTATACACAAACATATAGATAAGTCCATGGACTGTCCCATTTATATTGTGATATTAGAAATCACATATATACTGTTGATCAAAATAGAATCCGAGGTCAGGAAGTACTTTCTATTGCGTATATTTTTCTGTCCCTGTATTCCAGAACTTTTAAAAATTATTTGATTATCCAAAAGCAGTTACAAGGAGACAGGTAAATGAGGAAATACTGGATGGAGATACATATTTATGAAAGCTGAGTGAATGGTGGCTGCTGAGGTTATGAACATTTCAAACTTCTGTGGGATGTTTAAAAAAGTGAAAAACATGGTTATTGGTGATTTGGGAGGCAAAGGTGGACCAGGAGGTTTGTTAGTCCACATTCTAGAACAGTGGTTCTCAACCTTCCTAATGCCGCGACCCTTTAATACTGTTCCTCATGTTGTGGTGACCCCCAACCAGGGGTGGGTTCTAAATTTTTTTATTGCCGGTTCTGTGGGCGTGGCTTATTTTGTGGGCGTGGCTTGGAGATCATGTGACTGGGTGGGCGTGGCTATGTGTATAGGGACTACCCAGAGGGCTGAAAAAAGTGATTTCTGACAGGTCCTCGCATTTTTGACCGGTCTTCGCACTTATGACTGGTCATCATTTATGACTGGTCATCATTTATGCCCATTGTAGCATTCTTAACAACCATGTCACTCATTTCACAACTGCTTCTCTTCACCATGGTGACAAGATAGGGCAAAAACGTAAAATGTGAGGACAGTCATAAATTTGAGGACTGGTCAAAAGTGCGAGGACCAGTCAGAAATAACTTTTTCAGCCCTCTGAGTAGTCCATATGCATAAAAGGATACAGCAATAGAGAGGGATGAAGGAAGGGAAGGGAAATTAGAGTAGGAGTGAGGGTAAGAGAGGGAGGAAGAGAGGAGGAGAAGGAGAAAGGAAGAGGAAGTAGGGAGGAGAAGAAGAGGGGGAGGAAGAGAAAGTAAGAAGGAAAGAAAAGAGAGGTGGTAGGTTTGAGGAGAAAGATTGCTGTACAATAAAAAAGAAAGGGAAGAAAGCCAGCCCCAAACAAATATAAAGATATTAAGATAAAGAATGAATTGTTAAACTTTAAAGAATAAAAGAGAACAAATATGAATAAATAACAATAATTAGAAACACACATACAAACATACAATGTATTTTCTTTGAACAGAGTATTTGGCCGGTTCACAAATTTAAACAGTGTTTAGTCATTTCAATTAAATTTATAATTTCTATATTTCCTTTTTGCCATATTTATTCCTTATCTATTTTTGTAAAAAACCAATATTACCCTTCATCCTCACCTCTAATCTTAATCAAATTCAATTTTTCCCTTCTATTCTATATTATACCCCTTCCCATTGTCATCTATTTTTATATCCATCCTCACATTGGTTAATTATGTAATATTACAGTTTAATATAAATTCAACATTTTAATATAAATCAATTAGTTATATAACTACCTTTTTTGTATATTAATCAATATGAACATGAATATTCCAATTATTTCCATGCAATCCAATTTCTTACAAATCAATTAATTATATTTACCAATAATAATAAACCAAATAATTTCTCCCATATATTCCTCCAAACCACAACTTAACCATTTTTGCTTTCAACACAATATACAATTAATAGTATCTCAATTATTACAATTCCCTAGTTAAATAGAGCTTTTTTTCTTTTGTGTTTTAAAATCTTGAACTCTCCTCTTTTCCCCTAAATTTCCCATTGTTTGCACCTACCTTTTTTGGTGAGGAAAAAGAAAAGAAATCTGCCTGGCTAATTTTCTAACATTGCAGCAACAGCAAAGCCAACAGCCTGCTTTACTTTCAGTTTCGTTTTTCAGCATAGCTAGGGGGAAAAAAATCTCTCCAGCAAGCAGCAGAGCCCTGAGCAAAACAGCTGAAAGCAAATCAGCTGAGAGTTGGGAGCCGATCTAATCAAGGGCTAATTAGCCTATGCTGATGCTCCGCGGGCCAATAAAATTACAAAAAAACACCGAACCATTTGTTAAATTGCTGGCTTGCCCGCCCCTCGCCCACCGCTATTTATTGGCAATAAATAGTGGTGCGGGGGGGCAGGGCGAGCCAGCAATTTAACAAAGCCCCGCGGCAAGAATTTAAACAGTTTTTTCCCTCTAGCCATCAGCTGGGACTCAGGAGGCAGCAATAGATTGGGAGTGGGCGGGGTAAGCGAACGGCCGGCGATCGAACAGAGCAGAGAGTGAGGGTGAGTGAAGGCGTGGGGGGGCGGGAGAGGGCTTTGGCGACCCCTGTGAAATGGCCGTTCGACCCCCAAAGGGGTCGTGACCCCCAGGTTGAGAACCACTGTTCTAGAAAAACACATCAGAACCTCTCTTGATGCAGATAATTGATGTCAATAGGATTGCCTAGTCCTGTGATAGCTAACCTTTTTGCTGTGGTGTGCCAAAAGCGGGAGCGCGGGTGTGTGTGTGTGTCGTGTGTGTGCATGTGCCCACACCCATAATTCAATGCCCCCCCCACATTGGATAGGTGGACTTCAACTCCCAGTATTCCTTTGCAACCATCTCCACGCTCCCCCCGCTTTTGGCACGTGATGGCAAAAAGGTTACCGATGGGCCTGGTAGGCCCGTTTTTCGCCCTCTCCAGGCTCTAGAGGCTTTCTTGGAGAGCGGGGAGGGTGAAAATGGTCCTTCCCACACACACACCCCGAGGCCAGAAACGGCCTGTTTCCTGACTTCCGGTGGGCCCAGAAGGTCCGGAAATCAGTTGGCCGACACACGCATGCACGCTGGAGCTGAGCTAGGGCAACGCTTGTGTGCCCACAGATATGCTCCACATGCCACTGTGGCATGTGTGCCATAGGTTCGCCATAACGGGCCTAGTCAGTAACAATAAATATTTGCTGAGCTACTCCCTGCTTCTTTACATGATTATACAAGTGTGTAAATATAATTAAGATAATATTTTCATATTACACTTATCTCCTAGGTCCCACTGTTACTTTAAGTAGTTACTAATGAACTTGCAGTTTTCTTTAATTTCTTTCAACAATTTACAGTGGCAATACATGTTTTCTTTCAAATGACCATCTCTCACAGCTGTTTCTTAACAGAGTTAGAGATCATATTTTGCTCCAGGTAGAGTAGTAACCTAGAACAGTACTTAGCATTTAATCCAAAAAATTAAACAGAAGTGATTTACCTAAATATATGAAGCAAGTGATCCATGTGCAGAATCCTCGGGGCTCAGGTTTCGTTGCAGCGAGGGGGTCGCACACCCTCTCCTCGCCTCCGAAGAAAGCCCCTCTGCTCCCCCTGCCTCTCCGGGGCTGAGAGTGGCTAAAAAAAGTCGCGGAGCTTTAAGAAATTTGATCGGCACAACGGAGCTCGTGCCGCACCGATCTTCCGCCTTGACAGCTGCACCGGAAGTCCTCGATTAATACTGAGATCTTGACCTATTTGTCCCCGTATCATTATTTGTTATTTCCATGGCACTCTCAGACTTTGACTATTCAGACCAAGCCAGTAGACATGCATGCACACATGCATTTGTGACATTTAAAAAATTTATCAGCAATATTTTCTGCCCAGTTCAATTATGCAAGATACTTGTTACAAATCTATTGTAGTTAAAAAAATCTTTTATAACTTGTGGCATTATAAATACATTTCAGACTTTGAAAAAGTGTGGGTGCTGTCACAAAATAGTTATCAAAAGGTCACGTGCACTAACATATTAGTGGCTATAATGTTCATGCTAATGCCCATAATAGAAGTGGCAAAACTTAAAGTCAAATAATCATTTGTCCAAGAAAGTGAATACAGAATAAAGCCAAAGTGCTTCTGAGCTCCAAAGCCACTTGTTTGAATCCAGATTTCAGTTTAAAATAATTCTCACTTTCTTTGTCTATTCTTTATCTTTTTTATTATGTAAATTTTAAAGAATAAGTTTATTGGGTATGTCATATTGGCACAGAATGGTGAAAACCGACTCTGATTATTCCCATGGTTTTCACCTAATTAAAAGTTTTTCACTTTCTCAAAACAATCAGTCACATAGTTCAATCACAATACTGTCCAGTTGTTAGGTGACTCCAGTCCCTTCCTTCCGAGCACCTGCAGGAATGTCCTTAGTTCCCAAGAGAAAGTATTTTGTTTTGACTACAACACCCCAACTATCTCTATTCCCCCCTTCCTGTCCCTCTTCTCCAGTGTGTGACCACTGAAGTCTCAAAATGGTCTCGGTCAGGCCAGCTTCAGGGTTGACACCCTCCCTAATCAAAGTTGCAATTGGTACATAGCAGCTAAACTGCTAACTAGTGCAAAGTAAAAGAATTACATATCTGTAAGAGTTCCACTTGCTTATCAGGCACAATTTAAGATAATGGCATGTACCCTTAAAGCCCAAATGTTTAGGTGCTGTGCAGTGAACAAGATCTATAGGAAAGAA